AAAGATATTAAGGCTCTATTTATATGTGTTCCTGTTCATAGTCTTTCATATACAATTCCAGACTCTATCATTTTGAATTGTTACAGTTTTAATTTAACTCATATATTGTACTGTGCGCTATATACTTGCATTCTTACGGTTTTTAAGATGTTTCCTCTAAAAAGGGCTACTGAATGAACATGATCACAAATATAAACACTATACTCGATTTTCATTGCTGTTTGAACGTGAATTTTCTGTTTGAACACTGCCCCACAGACACTAAGGCTCTATATACATGTGTTCCTGGCGTGTCATATGCTTTCTTGTACAATTCCAGGTTCTATCATTTTGAATTCTAAGAGTTTTAATCTAACTCACATAGGGTTCAGAGCTCTATACACTTGAATTCTTAAGGGTTGGAAGCAGGTTCCTTTTTAAAAAGCCGTCTTATTAAACCGGAAGTATAAATGGAATCACAATCCTCACCCTTTCACAGGTGATTGAAGATGAGTTTTAAGGTTGAACTCTGCCCCCACAGAACTGAAGGCTATATTTCAATGTAGTCCTTGCGTTTCATGCACATTTTATAATATTCAAGGTTCAATCATTTTGAATTCAAAGAATTTTAATCTAACTCACATAGGGTTCAAAGTTCTATACACTTGAATTCTTAAGGGTTGGAAGCAGGTACCTTTAAAAAAGCCATCTTATAAAACCGGAAGTATAAATGGCATCAGTATCCTCAATTTTCACAGGTGTTTGAATGTGAGCTTTCAGGTTGAACTCTGCCCCACAGACATGACGGCTTTATATACATGTATTCCTAGCCTTTCATACACATTTTTATACAATTTCAAGTTCGATCATTTGAATTCTAAGAGTTTTATCTAACTCACATAGGGTTCTGAGTTCTATACACTTGAATTCTTCTTTGTTGGAAGCAGGTTCCTTTAAAAAAGCCATCTCATTAAACTGGAAGTATAAATGGAATCAGTATCCTCAACTATCACAGCTGTTTGAACGTGAGTTTGGAGGTTGAACACTGCCCCACAGACATGAAGGCTCTTTTTACATGTACTCCTAGTGTTTCATTCACATGTTTATACAATTTCAGGTTCTAACCTTTTGAATTCTAAGAGTTTTATTCTAACTCACATAGTGTTCTAAGCTCTATACACTTGAATTCTTAAGGGTTGGAAGCAGGTTCCTTGAAAAAAGCCATCTCATTAAATCGGAAGTATAAATTGAATCATTATCTTCAACTTTCAGAGCTGTTTGAACGTGAGTTTTCAGGTTGAACACTGCCCTACAGACATGAAGGCTCTATCTACATGTACTCCTAATGTTTCATAAACATTTTTATACAATTTCTGCTTCTATCCTTTTGAATTGCAAGAGTTTTAATCTAATCACATAGTGTTCTGAGCTCTATACACTTGAATTCTTAAGGGTTGGAACCAGGCTTCTAAAAAAAGCCATCTCATTAAACCGGAAGTATAAATGGAATCACTATCCTTGCCTTTTCACAGCTGTTTGAAGGTGTGTTTTCAGGATGAACTCTGCCTCACAGACATGTTGGCTATATTTACATGTACACCTAGCGTTTCATAAACATTTTCATATAATTTCAGGTTCGATACTTTTGAATTCTAAGAGTTTTAATCTAACTCACATAGTGTTCTGAGCTCTATACACTTGAATTCTTAAGGGTTGGAAGCAGGCTCCTTTAAAAAAGCCAACTCATTAAACCGGAAGTATAAATGGAATCAGTATCCTCAACTTTCACAGCTGTTTGAACGTTAGTTTTCAGGTTGAACACTGCCCACAGAAATGAAGGCTCTATTTACATGTTCTCCTAGTCTTTCATACACATATTATAGGATTCCAGGTTTGATCATTTTGTATTCCAAGAGTTTTAATCTAACATATTTTGTTCTGGGTTCTATACACTTGAATTCTTACTTGTTGTAAGCGGGTTTTTTTAAAAAAGCCATCTCATTAAACCGGAAGTGAAAATAGAATCAGAATTTTCCACTATAACAGCTGTTTGAATGTGAGTTTTCAGGTTAAACTCTGCCCCACAGACAAGAATGCTTTATTTACACGTATTCCTAGCTTTTCATACACATTTTTATAAAATTTCACATTTGATGCTTTGAATTCTAAGAGTTTTAATCTAACTCACATAGGGCTTGGAAATCTATACACTACAATTTTTAATTTTTGGAAGGTGATTCTTTTAAAAAAGCCATCTCATTAAAACGGAACTATAATTAGAATCAGAAACTTCCACTTTCACAGCTGTTTGAAGGTGAGCTTTCAGATGGAACACTGCCCCACAGAAACGAAGGCTCTAATTACATGTACTCCTAGCGTTTCTTATACATTTTATAAGATTCCACGTTCAATCATTTTGAATTACAAGAGTTTTAATCTAACACACATAGTGTTCTGAGTCTATACACTTGAATCCTCAACTGTTGGAAGCAGGTTCCTTTAAAAAAGCCATCTCAAAATCGGAAGAGTATAAATGAAATCAGAATCTTCGAATTTTCACAGCTGTTTGAATGTGAGTTTCCAGGTTGAACTCTGCCCCACAGACAAGAAGGCTCTGTTTACACGTATTCATAGCGTTTCATACACATTTTTATACAATTTTAGGTTTGATACTTTAAGAGTTTTAATCTAAGTCACATAGTGTTCTGAGTTTTATACACTTGAATTCTTAATTGTTGGAAGCAGGTTCCTTTAAAAAAGCCATCTCATTAAATCGGAAGTATAAATGAAATCAGAATCTTCGAATTTTCACAGCTGTTTGAATGTGAGTTTCCAGGTTGAACTCTGCCCCACAGACAAGAAGGCTCTGTTTACACGTATTCATAGCGTTTCATACACATTTTTATACAATTTTAGGTTTGATACTTTTGAATTCCAAGAGTTGTAATCTAACTCACATAGGGGTCTGAGCTCTATACACTTCAATTCTTAATTGTTGGAAGCACGTTCCTTTAAAAAAGCCATCTCATTAAACCGGAAGTATACTTGGAATCAGAATTGTCCACTTTCACAGCTGTTTGAATGTGAGTTTTCAGGTTGAACTCTACCCCACAGACAAGATGGCTCTATTTACATGTACTCCTAGCGTTTCCTACACATTTTATAAGATTCCAGGTTCAATCATTCTGAATTCTTAGAGTTTTAATCTAACTCACATAGGGTTCGGAGCTCATTACACTTCAATTTAATTGTTGGAAGCAGGTTCCTTTAAAAAAGCCATCTTAGTAAACCGGATGTATAAATGGGATCAGGATCCTCAACTTTCACAGGTGTTTGAACGTGAGATTTCAGGTTGAACACTGCCCCACAGACATGAAGGCTCTATTTACCTGTACTCCTAACATATCTTATACATTTTATGAGATTCCAGGTTCAATAATTTTGAATTACAAGAGTTTTAATCTAACTCACATAGTGTTCTGAGTTCTATACACTTGAATCCTTAATTGTTGGGAGCAGGTTCCTTTAAAAAAGCCATCTCGTTAAATCAGAAGTATAAATGGAATCAGAATCTTCCACTTTCACAGCTGCTTGAATGTGAGTTTTCAGGTTGAACTCTGCCCCACAGACAAGATGGCTCTATTTACACGTATTCCTAGCATTTCATACACATTTTTATACAATTTCAGATTCGATCCTTTTGAGTTCTAAGAGTTTTAATCTAACTCACATAGGTTTCGAAGCTCAATACACTTGAATTCTTTTGGGTAGGAAGCAGGTTCCCTTCAAAAAGCCATCTTATTAAATCGGAAGTATAAACGGAATCAGTATCCTCAACTTTCACAGGTGCTTGAACCTGAGCTTTCAGGTTGAACACTGCCCCACAGACCTGAAGGCTCTATTAACATGTACTCCTAATGTTTCGTACGCGTTTTATACGATTCAAAGTTCAATCATTTTGAATTCCAAGAGTTTTAATCTAAGTCACATAGTGTTCTGTGTTCTATACACTTGAATTCTTACTTGTTGTAAGCGGGTTTTTTTAAAAAAGCCATCTCATTAAACCGGAAGTGAAAATAGAATCAGAATTTTCCACTATAACAGCTGTTTGAATGTGAGTTTTCAGGTTAAACTCTGCCCCACAGACAAGAATGCTTTATTTACACGTATTCCTAGCTTTTTCATACACATTTTTATAAAATTTCACATTTGATGCTTTGAATTCTAAGAGTTTTAATCTAACTCACATAGGGCTTGGAAATCTATACACTACAATTTTTAATTTTTGGAAGGTGATTCTTTTAAAAAAGCCATCTCATTAAAACGGAACTATAATTAGAATCAGAAACTTCCACTTTCACAGCTGTTTGAAGGTGAGCTTTCAGATGGAACACTGCCCCACAGAAACGAAGGCTCTAATTACATGTACTCCTAGCGTTTCTTATACATTTTATAAGATTCCACGTTCAATCATTTTGAATTACAAGAGTTTTAATCTAACACACATAGTGTTCTGAGTCTATACACTTGAATCCTCAACTGTTGGAAGCAGGTTCCTTTAAAAAAGCCATCTCATTAAATCGGAAGTATAAATGGAATCAGTATCCTCAACTTTCCCAGGTGTTTGAACTTGAGCTTTCAGGTTGAACACTGCCCCACAGACATGAAGGCTCAATATAAACATATTCCTAGGGTTTCATACACATTTTTATACAATATCAGGTTCGATCCTTTTTTATTCTAAGAGTTTTAATCTAAGTCACATAGTGTTCTGAGTTTTATACACTTGAATTCTTAATTGTTGGAAGCAGGTTCCTTTAAAAAAGCCATCTCATTAAATCGGAAGTATAAATGAAATCAGAATCTTCGAATTTTCACAGCTGTTTGAATGTGAGTTTTCAGGTTGAACTCTGCCCACAGACAGGACGGCTCTATTTGTATGTACTCCTAGCATTTCTTACACACTTTATAAGATTCCCGTTTCAATCATTTTGAATTCCAAGAGTTTTAATCTAACTCAGAGTGTTCTGAGTTCTATACACTTGAATTCTTAATTGTTGGAAGCAGATGCCGTTAAAAAACCTATCTAATTAAACCGGATATATAAATGGAATCAGAATCCTCGACTTTCACAGCCATTTTAAAGTGGGTTTTCAGGTTGAACACTGCCCCACAGACAAGACGGTTCTATTTACACCTATTCCTAGCATTTCGTACACATTTTTATACAATTTCAGGTTTGATCCTTTTGAATTCTAAGTTTTAAATAACTCACATAGGGTTCTGAGCTATATACACTTCAATTTTTAATTGTAGAAAGCAGGTTCCTTTAAAAAAAAAAGCCATCTCATTAAACCAGAAGTATACTTGGAATCAGAAACCTCCACTTTCACAGCTGTTTCAATGTGAGTTTTCAAGTTGAACTCTGCCCCACAGACAAGACGGCTCTATCAACATGTATTGCTAGCTTTTTATACACACTTTTATACAATTTCAGGTTCGATCCTTTTGAATTCTAAGAGTTTTAATCTAACTCACATAGGGGTCTGAGCTCTATACACTTCAATTCTTAAGGGCTGGAATCAGGTTCTTTTAAAAAAGCCATCTCATTAAACCAGAAGTATACTTGGAATCAGAATCCTCCACTTTCACAGCTCTGTGAATTTGAGTTTTCAGGTTGAACTCTGCCCCACAGACAAGACGGCTCTATTTACATGTACTCCCAGTGTTTTGTACATATTTTATAAGATTCAGGTTCAATCATTTTGAATTCCAAGAGTTTTAACCTAACTCACCTAGTGTTCTGAGTTCTATACACTTGAATTCTTAATTGTTGGAAGCAAGTTCCTTTAAAAAAGCCATCTCATTAAACCGGTACTATAAATGGAATCAGACTCCTAGACATTCACAGCTGTTGGAATGTGAGTTTTCAGTTTGAACTCTGCCCCACATACAAGACGGCTCGATTTACATGTATTCCTAGCATTTCATACACATTTTATAGAATTTCAGATTCGCTCCTTTTGAATTCTAAGAGTTTTAATCTAACTCACATAGGGTTAGGAGCTCAATACACATGAATTCTTAAGGGCTGGAATCAGCTTCCTTTAAAAAAGACATCATATTAAACCGGAAGTATAAATGGAATCAGTATCCTCAACTTTCACAGGTGTTTGAATGTGAGCTTTCAGATTGAACACTGCCCCACAGACATGAAAGCTCAATTTACACGTATTCTTAGTGTTTCATACACATTTTTATACAATTTCAGGTTCGATCCTTTTTCATTCTAAGAGTTTAATCTAACTCACATAGGGTTCGGAGCTCTATACACTTCAATTCTTAATTGTTGGAAGCAGGTTCCTTTTAAAAAGCCATCTTATTAAACCGGAAGTATAAATGGAATCAGAATCCTCGACTTTCACAGCTGTTTGAATATGAGTTTTCAGGTTGAACTCAGCCACACAGACAAGACGGCTCTATATACACGTATTCACAGCCTTTCTTATACATTTTTATACGATTTCAGGTTTGATCCTTTTGAATTCTAAGAGTTTTAATCTAACTCACAAAGGGTTCGGAGCTAAACACACTTAAATTCTAATGGGTTGGAAGCAGGTTACTTTAAAAAAGCCATCTTATTAAACCAGAAGTATATAGGGAATCGGTATCCTCAACTTTCACAGGTGTTTGTACATGACCTTTCAGGTTGAACACTGAACCACAGACATGAAGGCTCTATTTACATATACTCCTAGCGTTTTGTACACATTTTATAAGATTCCAGGTTCGATCATTTTGAATTACAAGAGTTTTAATCTAACTCACATAGTGTTCTGAGCTCTATACACTTAAATTCTTAATTGTTGGGAGCAGGTTCTTTTAAAAAAGCCATTTCATTAAACCGGAAGTATAAATGGAATCAGAATCCTCCACTTCCACAGCTGTTTGAATGTGAGTTTTCAGGTTGGACTCAGCCACAATGACAAGACAGCTCTATTTACAAGTATTCATAGCGTTTCCGACACATTTTTATACAATTTCAGGTTCTATCTTTTTGAATTCTAATAGTTTTAATCTAACTCACATAGGGTTCATAGCTCAATACACTTGAATTCTTAATTGTTTGAAGCAGGTTCCTTTAAAAAGCCATATCTTTAAACCGGAAGTATTGATGGAATCAAAATCCACGACTTTCACAGCTGTTTGAATGTGAGTTTTCAGGTTGAACTCTATCCCACAGTCAAGACAGCTCTATTTACACATATTCCAAGCGTTTCATACACATTTTATAGGAATCCATGTTTGATCTTTTGAATTGTAAGAATTTTAATCTAACTCACATAGGGTTTGGAGGTCAATACACTTGAATTCTTAAGGGTTGGAAGCAGGTCCCTTTTAAAAAGCCATCTTATTAAACCGGAAGTATAAATGGAATCAGTATCCTCAACATTCACAGGTGTTTGAATGTGAGCTTTCAGGTTGAACACTGCCCCACAGACATGAAGGCTATATTTACATGTACTCCTATCGTTTCTTACACACTTTATAAGATTCCAGGTTCAATCATTTTGAATTCCAAGAGTTTTAATCTAACTCACATAGTGTTCTGAGTTCTATACACTTGAATTCTTAAATGTTGGAAGCAGGTACCTTTAAAAAAAAGCCATCTCATTAAACCCGAAGCATAAATGGAATCAGAATCCTTGACTTTCACAGCTGTTTAAAGGTGAGTTTTCAGGTTGAACTCTGCCCCACAGACAAGACTGCTCTATTTACAAGTATTCCTAGAGTATCATACATATTTTTAGAATTTCAGGTTCGATTTTTTTGAATTCCAAGAGTTTTAATCTAACTCACATAGGGTTCAGAGCTCTATACACTTAAATTCTTAATTGTTGGAAGCAGGTTCCTTTAAAAAGGCCTTCTCATTAAACCGAAAGTATGATTAGAATCAGAATACTCCACATTCACAGCTGTTTGAATTTGAGTTTTCAGGTTGAACTCTGCCCCACAAACGAGACGGATCTATTTACATGTACTCCTAGCGTTTCGTACACATTTTATAAGATTCCAGGTTCAATTATTTTGAATTCCAAGAGTTTTAAACAAACTCACATAGTGTTCTGAGTTCTATACACTTGAATTCTAAATTGTTGGAAGCAGGTTCCTTTAAAAAAGCCATCTCATTAAACCGAAAGTATAAATGGAATCAGAATCCTGGACATTCACAGCTGTTTGAATGTGAGTTTTCAGGTTGAACGCTGCCCCACAGACAAGACGGCTCTATTTACACGTATTCCTCTGGTTTCATACCCATTTTTATACAATTTCAGTTTCCATCCATTTGAATTCTAAAAGTTTTAATCTAACTCACATAGGGTTCAAATTTCAATACACATGAATTCTTAAAGGCTGGAAGCAGGTTCCTTTAAAAAAGCCATCTTATTAAATGGGAAGTGTAAATGAAATCAGTATCCTCAACTTTCACAGGTGTTTGAATGTGAGCTTTCAGGTTGAACACTGCCCCACAGACATGAAGGGGCTATGTACATGTACTCCTAGCATTTCGTACACATTTTATAAGATTTCAAATTCAATCATTTTAAATTCCAAGTTTTAATCTAACTCACAGAGTGTTCTGAGTTTATACACTTGAATTCTTAATTTTTGGAAGCAGGTTCTTTTAAAAAAGCCATCTCATTAAACCGCAAGTATACTTGGAATCAGAATCCTCCACTTTCACAGCTGTTTGAATGTGAGTTTTCAGTTTGAACTCTGCTCCTCATACAAGACGGCTCTATTTACACGTATTCCTCTTGTTTCATACCCATTTTTATACAATTTCAAGTTCCATCCATTTGAATTCTAAAAGTTTTAATCTAACTCACATAGGGTTCAAATTTCAATACACATGAATTCTTAAAGGCTGGAAGCAGGTTCCTTTAAAAAAGCCATCTTATTAAATGGGAAGTATAAATGGAATCAGTATCCTCAACTTTCACAGGTGTTTGAACATGAGTTTTCAGGTTGAACTCGCTCCACAGACAACACGGCTCTATCAACATGTATTGCTAGCTTTTTATACACACTTTTATACAATTTCAGGTTCGATCCTTTTGAATTCTAAGAGTTTTAATCTAACTCCCATAAGGTTCAGAGCTCAATACACATGAATTCTTATTGGATGAAATCAGGTTCCTTTAAAATAGCCATCTCATTAAACCGGAAGTATAAATAGAATCACTATCCTCAACTTTCACAGGTGTTTGAACGTGACCTTTCAGGTTGAACACTGCCCCACAGACATGAAGGGTCTATTTACATGTACTCCTAGCGTTTCGTACACATTTTATAAGATTCCAGGTTCAATCATTTTAAAATCCAAGTTTTAGACTAATAACCACATTCACATAGTGTTCTGAGCTCTATAGACTTGAAGTCTTCAGGGTTTTAACCTCTTTCCTTAAAAAACTCCAATTCATTGAACCGGAATTATAAAATGGAATCAGTATCCTCAACTTTCACAGGTGTTTGAACATGAGTTTTCAGGTTGAACTCGCTCCACAGACAACTATTTACATGTATTCCTTGCGTTTCATACACATTTTTATACAATTTCAGGTTCGATCCTTTTGAATTCTAAGAGTTTTAATCTAACTCCCATAAGGTTCAGAGCTCAATACACATGAATTCTTATTGGATGAAATCAGGTTCCTTTAAAATAGCCATCTCATTAAACCGGAAGTATAAATAGAATCACTATCCTCAACTTTCACAGGTGTTTGAACGTGACCTTTCAGGTTGAACACTGCCCCACAGACATGAAGGGTCTATTTACATGTACTCCTAGCGTTTCGTACACATTTTATAAGATTCCAGGTTCAATCATTTTAAAATCCAAGTTTTAATCTAACTCACATAGTGTTCTGAGTTCTATACACTTGAATTCTTAATTTTTGTAAGCAGGTTCTTTTAAAAAAGCCATCTCATTAAACAGGAAGTATACTTGGAATCAGAATGCTCCACTTTCCCAGCTCTGTGAATGTGAGCTTTCAGGTTGAACACTGCCCCACAGACATGTAGGCTCAATATACATGTATTCCTAGAGTTTCATACACATTTTTATACAATTTTAGGTTTGATCCTTTTGAATTCTGTGTTTTAATCTAACTCACATAGGCTTCTGAGCTCTATACTCTTCAATTCTTAATTGTAGGAAGCAGGTTCCTTTAAAAAAAACCATCTCATTAAGCCGGAACTATAAATGGAATCAGAATCCTCGACTTTCACACCTGTTTGAATGTGAGGTTTCAGGTTGAATTCTGTCCCACAGACAATCAGGCTCTATTTACACATATTGCTAGCATTTCTACACATTTTTATACAATTTCAGGTTCGATACTTTTGAACTCCAAGAGTTTTAATCTAACTCACATAGGGTTCAGAGCTCAATAAACTTTAATTCTTAAGGGTTGGAAGCAGGTTCCTTTAAAAAAGCCATCTTATTAAACCGGAAGTATAAATTGAATCAGAATCCTCCACTTTCACAGCTGTTTGAATGTGAGTATGTGAGTTTTCAGGTTGAACTCTGCCCCATAGACAAGATGGCTCTTGGTACATGTACTCCTAGCACTTCGTACACATTTTATAAGATTCCAGGTTCAATCATTTTGAATTCCAAGAGTTTTAATCTAACTCACATAGTGTTCTGAGTTCTATACACTTGAATTTTTAATTGTTGGAAGCAGGTTCCTTTAAAAAAGCCACCTCATTAAACTGGAAGTATAAATGGAATCAGAACCCTCGACTTTCACAGCCGTTTGAATGCGAGTTTTCAGGTTGAACTCTGCCCCACAGACAAGACGGCTCTATTTACATGTATTCCTTGCGTTTCATACACATTTTTATACAATTTCAGGTTCGATCCTTTTGAATTATAAGAGTTTTAATCTAACTCACATGGGTTCATAGCTCAATACACTTGAATTCTTAACGACTGGAAGCAGGTTCCTTTAAAATAGCCATCTTATTAAACCGGAAGTTTAAATGGAAGCAGTATCCTCAACTTTCACAGGTGTTTGAACGTGAGATTTCAGGTTGAACACTGCCCCACAGACATGAAGGCTCTATTTACCTGTACTCCTAGCATTTCGTACACATTTTATAAAATTCCAGGGTCAATCATTTTGAATTCCCAGAGTTTTACTCTAAGTCACATAGTGTTCTGAGTTCTATACACTTGAATTTTTAATTGTTGGAAGCAGCTTCCTTTAAAAAAGCCATCTCATTAAACCCAAAGTATAAATGGAATCAGAATCCTCGAATTTCACAGCTGTTTGAATGTGAGATTTCAGGTTGAACTCTGCCCCACAGACATGACGGCTCTACTTACAGGTATTCCTAGGGTTTCATACACATTTTTATACAATTTCAGGTTCGATCCTTTTGAATTATAAGAGTTTTAATCTAACTCACATAGGGTTC